GACTTGGTGACAATTGCGTCCATAATCCCGCAATGCATAAAGCCTACACGTATCCACCTGGAGGCGTATACAACATATCTAGATTCCGCGTGCATTGGAACGCTAAGTCCGTACAAGGCTTAATAGTTTATAGGACGGGCAAAACTTAAAAGTTGTGGGATTTTATTCTCCATTTGTATAACTGTCGTTACCGACTCTAAGCACAAGCATTTTAAGCTTAGAAGAGATTCACGACATAACTAGTAACGTATTAGCAATACTATATTACTTTAAAAACTATATTAATAAGACGAGTATATTATTTCTTCGATGTGAAATGTTGTTTGTATGTAACCTAGAAACAATCAACATTAAATTAAATAGAACTATGTATACCACAAATAAAAAGGCAACAAATACATTGTCGCCTACCACACGTCCATGCACTAAGACAAAATGTCCCACCGTACAAAATTTAAAAAGTTACAGCCAATATAAGTACAATTGCTGGGCACAGGCATCCTCTTATTTGGCAAGGAAATGTCCAATGCGCTGCCCACTTATTTTTCAGACATGCAGGTTTCCTCACGATGTGTTCCCTCATTGCCGATCACGTGATAAATCAGCACTTAAAGTTGCAATGAAAATTTACGTACTGTGGAGTTTACAGCGAGCGCCTAGCTGTAAGCTTAGCTACTACGGCTCTCCACTGTCACTACCTACATATCTACTAATACTAATAATCTATGGCCTGTGTGTGCAGTGGACTTTCGATATCCTGTAACAGTAACTCACTCTACCCATGTACAGTTGAGACAAGAATTTTACGATATTTGATATTACATACAAAAAAGGACAGGTTCGCAATTTAACTGTATTTTTTCTTTTCGCATTTACTTTTCATTAAGGTATAATTTGATAATTCTGAATTTGAAATGACGTCGTACAACACTTTGTTCTTAGGATTTGAGTACAGAGCGTTTTGACTCAAATTTAGTCGGAGGCAACACTAGCGCTACATGTTATATACATCTCGGTTTTTGATTTTATCATTAGATGGACTGAATGTTCGTTGGTGTCTCATTAGTACAAGAAGAAAATTTCATTACGGAGCTTAAAAAATCTTAACCTGAGAGTTTAAATTATAGTTTATATTAAAGCAAAGGTTAGTTATAGACCTCGTAACTTGTGGAACGAAATAACGTTCTCCTTATAAATCATTCACGTTTTCTTTCCAAGCTTCAGATTTAAAATTAGATTTATTGGCGTTCTAATTTGGAAAGTTGTTTCATGCTTCTTGACGTCATTCGCTCAGTGCCAATAAAATACTTAGGGCTAATTTTTAATCCTCAGATATATATAATTTTTTTATCCTTATATATTCATAGGGTAAATACAACATAAACTATTAGAAATTAGTTTATTTGATAGGCTCATGATGATTTGATAAAATGTACTTGTAAGTCATTATTTGCGAAGCATTGAAATAATACTCAGTGAGTTTATAATGTGTTCGAACTGAGACTAAACCCTGGGCTGCACTTACTGTTTCTTACGTCAGTGCGAATGCCCTCGGTAGACCTTTTGTTACGGCATGTTTCAGTGCAAGTGCTAACATTAAGATGTCTTCGATTGTTTTATAATTGTTGAAAAAAAATGAATAAATGTTTTATAATTTTGTAGGAAAAGCAAAGAAAATGTAAAACTGTGGTAGTACCGCATAAAGCCCGGTATACACGGCAACGATAAAACTGCGCAAAGGAACTGCACAGTTCATTGACGCAGCTTATCGAACGTCGGTAGTGCGTCCACACATCTACTATATCTGCGTCGATCGTCAGTTTTCGGCAAAAACTCAGAAGAAAAACACGTCATTCGTGATGAAAGACGATGAAGCGCTTGCGCTAGCCTGGCTTGTTTTGTGCAAAAAGAAACGAAAATCACGTAGTGTGTGGTGTAAGGGTTGGCTTCCTAAAAGAAAGTCATACTCTCACATAAATTTATTAAAAGAGTTGAAATTTTCCCCAAAAGAGTGGCACAATTATTTGACGATAAATGAAGAGACTTACTTACACCTCCGTCGTGTTGTCCTCTGCGTGGGCTTTCTGCCCAGCAGGTTTCGGGCCTTGGGGTATACCCCTTTACCCGGGCATTCTTGACGGCACACTACAGTGTGCCGGTCCTGGGCGCCTTTAGATGTTAAAGGCCGTATGTTCTTAAAAAACAGCTTTTGCCGCAGTCGGATAATCCATAGTAAAAAAGGAGGTTATCCGATATTTGTGTTTTAACTACAAATATTTTGAGATTGATAAGAGTTGACCTATCTACGGCTTTGAGGGGTTTACTCGACTCCCTAATCTATATAGGGAGGCGTTCTCTTGGTCCTGTTTTTAATTACACCGCTAATACAAATAAGCATTACCGTGATGAGAGAAGCAATAAGTTCTCATGAAAGATTGTCTGAAACTCTGAGGTTTTTAGCTTTAGGTCGCTCGTACGAATGTATGAAGTTTTCTACGCTGTATCAAAACAGATTCTTAGTCAAATCATTCCCGAAACGAACGAACTAAACGATTGGTCCGAATTTCGTACACACAGTACTATAAAACTGTGCAAGCGCGATCGACAACGATTTATCGAATAGATTTAAAACCTTGCTCCGATGGCTTGCACCATAGAGAATATAACCACAGTCTTTGGCTTGCACCAACCAAAAAATCTGCGCCGATTTTTGTACACACGTTCGATAAAACTGCACAAATGGTCTGCGCAGTCAGTTTGCAACGATAAATCGTTGTCGTGTATACCGACCAAAGTCGATTTCTTTAAAAAATACACTTTATTTAATAGTTTACAAGTAGATTACAAATTTATAATGCAGCAATTTTTAGGTCATTTTCTATCGAATTGTAACGAAATGTTTACTAATCCAAGAGCATTTTATCAGTTGGTCGACTATTACTCATTAACTTGTTAAGCCTGCTTATATGTGATAGTTTTCTTTTTAACTTCATTATATATATCGTTCTTATGAGTTTATTTATGCTCAGCTTGGCATTTTAATAAGCTGTAACAAATGACTAATATAATGAATTGACTTGTTAGTGACACGATATTAGTTATTAATGAATAATTACTATTTTGTGAGTTAAATGAAAAAGGGGGATAAAATAAATCCCTCCAAAGGGGATTTAGGAAGGAAGTGTCCACGGTGCTGCCCCGAATTCGTGTTGTCGCAATTCACATATCTTCGAGTATTTTTTATTTTTCAGACATGTATGTTTCCTTACGATGTTTTCCTTCACTACCGAGCAAGTGGTAAATCAGCAGTCAAAAATGCATGAATAATTTTATTGGTGCCGGCGGAGTTCGAACCCGGGTTGCAAGTTTACTGTGAAATTTACGGCAAGCGCTAACGCCTGAGCTCCCAGGGCACTCGGAATTCAAAAGGAGCCCGTGAATAGCAGTAAGATGTATATAATATGCTTTAACTTTATTTTATGTCTATCTAAACACTCGCAATAGGCCCGTAAAGAGTATGCTACTTGACATTACATAACGCAACACTGCACGCGGAATCGAGACATGTGCCAGATGTGTCCCACTCTAATATAGCTTTCGACCGGTGGCTTAGGTATTTTACATTTGTTAGGAGATGATATGCCGCCAACTATAGTAGATCATATGTATTCTTAGCTGGTCGCATGAAGTAAGATCGTGCGGCTGAGCGAGCTGCGATGATTTCTCAGTGTGATAGAATCCTTAACATATATTTCAACGGCGGATCTACATAACCCAATGAATCAATACTTAAGTGGCAATGGGCCCAACATATTAAAATCTTAACATTAGCATGAAAAACTGAAGTGTGATGGGGAAAAAATTTCTCGGAGGTAGCCTGGTTTCGGTAAGTTAATGGAAGTACCCCACTAGGAAACCTCGTTGAAAGATATGCAAGGGACAGGACAGTACTTCGTGGCAGTCATTTTAGGTGGCTTATATACGGCTGATGACTCGTGATAGATAGTAAGGATAATGATGCCAATGAATATTGCATTTAATTTTTTATATTTAGTCTAGATTACAAAAAGGACTGTATTTGATAAAGTTTTTTGAGGTGACTTTTGTTTAGCAATAATCTCGTAACGGACGGTCATGATTGTGGTGATGATGATGATGAATATTTTATATACAATTACTATATTTAGTGAAAAAATAAATAAAGAAAATAATTGAACTATCTTTTGTCAACAGTGCTTTTAATAATGTTCAGTGCATTACTTTGAAATCCTTAAAGGCAAAATTAATAATCTCCGTTTCAGAGAGAAAACAACACCCTTGCTTGTAAATCGTATTTCAAATTCTTCCAACATTTTAATTTTCTGCATTTGCTTTCAGTGCAAATTAAAATACCTGTTTCAGACATAAAATATTTGAACTCATATTCAACAACCCTTTGTTGTTTTATTATAATTCGGGTTTTTTACTTTAATACTTTTTCTTTCTTATCAATTATTGTTCTAATTTTGTTTTTTAACTCTTGCTAAACTTTGAAATAATAGAAAACTGTTCCGTGTACAAATCGTCGTTACTGTCATTGTAGCCCTTCAATAATAACAAGTTCACTGATAAAAATACAAACCTGTATAGCAGCTGATAAAAGCTCATAAATATACGACCCAATATTACTACAAAGTTTACTACCATTTTTTGTCAAAAAATGCGAATAGGCCAGCAGCACTAGCGAGCGGAGAGCTGTCGGCAACAGACAAAGGGGGAACCCAAGCCATGAGATGGGCAGCAACATTCTCCTGAGAGCAACTTAACAATAAACAATCTGCAGCTGAAACCCACATGTGAAGCGAGCGATCATGGCCGAATGACCGAATGACTTGTGGTTATGTCAAATATATGAAAAATAGGATACAGTGTTCGCTATATTGAAGACGGATAAAGAAGATAGAATGTAACTTTGTTAAATTATGTAAGATTTTATTCTTTAATAAATCATAAGATCTTACTTCATCATTGAGATCATCCTCTTCGAAAGCAGAGGAAAGTGGCCTTCCACGTTGTGCTCGCGCTCCTCTTGAATCAAAAAGTTGATCTGTTGGAGCCTCGATGTCATCTAAGGCGCTCTTGATTCGGTTCTCGACGTCAGATCGTATACGTTCTCGGTCTGGCTCACTTGCAACTGGAACTTTTCCGTCTAATCGATCGAGCACGGGTCGATAATAGCTCTCACCTTTGTTGTAATTGCAATCATAGACGCGTGTGCGTCTGCCTCTACCGACACGGCTCATTTTGTGTATATTCCTGCGAATACACGAAGATCATATGCTATATTGACTTTGTTTCGGATCAAGATTACCAATTCTAAAGTTTAAAAAAAAGTTATCACTTATTTCGTAACTTATAGAAGTAAAACATACAGTGATGACATACAATGGATTCTCATGTAATAGAATAGATACAATAAAGGGTTATTTGTACTATAATATGCGCTATATAACGTATGTTCTAAGAGAAAATAACCAATCTCTACACTATATAAGCAGAGAGCCCTATTCTAATAAAGTTATGTTATAGGATTTCAATTTGTTAAATCCCTATAATGTTTATTTTCTCTGATAAACTATCAAAATTACCTGGAATACATTACAGAATATATGATATTTATGTGAACACGCTGCAGTCAACATTTGCTTGAATTTGTCAAAGGGACAGAGCCTTTGATTCACCGACTATGGTCATATTGCTTCCGGCTGTGTTCGATATTATTACACTGGATTTTAGAATTTACCGATGGACGAATGTTTGTGCGCCCAAAATACATTTTGTATTTTAGGCGCACAAACATAATATGAATGGGAATATTACCTTTTGCTTGTACATGGAACCAACATATCTCTCAGCTTGCTTTTGTGTTTGACGAACATTTTGGAGATTACTTCCGCTTTGTTTAGTATAATTTTAATGTCTCTTAACGTCTCGCTATTTGTAGTATAGTATAATTACTTTCATGCAGGAATTAATTTGTTACTCTAATCGGACTATGTGGCGCAAACGAACAGACTGAAAAGCGATTGATAAACCATAATATCTAAGTTGAAACAACCGTTACTGATGTGCTTTTCAGAATATGTTATGGTTTTATTTTGCACTTATTTTAAAGAAATAACTGATTACGAACCATATTTGGTGGACTATTTTGATTATCAATTATGAGAGGTATGGATACATGCTACTTTGTTACACAGTAAAATTTCACTATTTTTTTATAAATTTTTAAGATTACGACTGTATACAGGGATCTAATTGTCAATTTGATTTAGTTTATAGCAAGATTGGTTATATAAGTATTTATTTCGTATGGTTATACAGCGATATACTAGCTATGTTGATTTACATACTATACAAAAATTATAATGACTAAAGTCTTTATATTGTGTTTGTTTCTTGTATTGTTTATTATGATAATCAAAGATCAAAATTTATTATTTAAGTTCAGTACAGTATTTTATTTTTAATTTAATATCAATTGGAAAAAATATAAGTTGGAAAACTTGTAGTTCCAACGTTTTACTTGTAGATGACAAATAGTAAATAAAAAAACGGTCAAAATTAAATTCATAGGATATGTATGAAAAGTTGAGCACAAGTATTTTCACCTTGCGTTCATATTGCATGATATCGTTCGTTTAAAAATACAATCGTGTTGTTTGTATTTCCCGTTTCACTTGTTCATATTTTGATAGCCTGACATTTCAATTTCGAATCCATAATTTGAATCTTAGTTTTTTACACTTTCGTCTTTTTATAACTGCAATAGACGTCGCTTGCAATAAAGTGAATAAAGAGATTCGGTTAAACATTGAATATGTAAAGGAGATTTGATTTCCTTGTTGAGGGTTGAGTTTCAATCATCAGGTAACATAACAGTTAAGTTATTCATATATTAAAATACAACAAAAAATATCAAAATTACAGTTGTATGTATAATATTATGTTTTTAATCCCCATGCATCTTCAATAACATACGTGATGATGATGATGATAATGAAAAACATAGCTCAATTGCTTCACTTTACATTTGCTCAAATACTTCACTTTGCAGTTAGGTTGTATTTTATTCAATGGACAAATCAAAATTTGACTGACTATTGAAAACTGATACTCTAATTTATATGCTGTTCAAATGCTCACGACAAGATTTTAAAATTATTGAGCGAAAGAAGTGTTTACTTAACGTTATTTCTAAATATAGTAGTTATATTCTCTTTGTTTCTTACGTCAGAGGTATTAAAATTGTCATAAACAATGTATCTTGCCATTAAAAAGAGATGTTACGCTATATTAGAAAATATAACAGCAACCATTATATTAGTCTTTAAAAACAAGTACCAGCACCTAAAGAGCGTAATTTGATCTGCTAAAGAAAATTTAAAGTATGAATAAATTAATAAAATTCTACACGAATATAATGGAAAAATCTAAGTATGTAATATTTTATGTGATGCTGGGAGAAAAGCCACAATAAAGTGAAGTAAGTTATAAAAACAAATATTTGGTATGATTCTCGCAAACTCTACTCAATGGAAGTTCATCGAAAGCTCCGACGCAAGCGCCGTTCAGTGAAACCATTTCAAAATAGATATCTTAAACATTCGATATGGAGATATTTTTAGTAGCAAAACCCGGTTTTTGTTCGTTCGACAAGACGTATTGTATGCACTCTATACGTTAAACGGCACAACTAAAAATAAACCCGCGAACGTAATCCGAACTTGCATTACGATCGAAATGAAAATTGTATGATATTTAGCAATCGTTAAATTAAAGATATGAAAACAGCAGAGGGAATATTAATAAATATAAGTCGCACTGCATGAAACTTTAAAACATTGGGACAGGAGAATTCGCAATAACCGCTTTAAGAGTTAGGTAAGGTTGTTCTAGTGGATTTCACTGACCTCGCACGTGTTCAGGCGTCGAGAAGGCAGATGGAACTGGGCAGTTTGGTAGCGGCGCTTGCGATGTTTAAAGCGGCGTAGGCGTTACTATGTTTAACCGTGAGCTACACAGAAATATATTGACTTTTGTTTCGGTTGATTTCCTGGCCGGAAAACTGAAGCTGCGCGTGCGCCGCCATTGTTATTCACAAGTAATCGTACCTGTGTGTTAAAAGGTAAAAGATAAAATCAAGCGAATTAATCATCAATATCAACAGAGCCAGTCAAAATCCTCTGTGGAAAATAGGCCTCCCCAAAGATGTATTTACTTTCTGGTCGTTATTGGAAAGAAGCTACTGTCCATCACCTGATATTGTTTCCCTCTGTCACCTCTTACGACTCTTACGTGACGTTATGCGGTAGTGGATATCTCCACCAAGCAAATTAAGTTTATAAGGTAAATATTTTTTTATAGAAGAGGGGGCAAACGAGCATGCGACTCACCTGATGTTAAGTGACTACCGCCGCCCATGATCAACCGCAACACCAGGGGAGTTGCAGGTGCGTTGTCGGATCTTTAGAAAGGAGTAAACTCTTTTCTTGAAAGTCCCCTGGTCGCATCGGTCCGGAAAAATCGCCGGTGGTAAACTATTCCACAGAGAGGTCGTACGCGGAAGAAAACTCCTTTTGAAACGTACAGTGGTGGACCTCCAAGCACCCAGAAGGTGTGGATGGTATCGAGGCGTTTGCCGCGTAATGCGTTCACGAAATTTGGCGGCTGGGATTAATCCGAACAATTCCTCAGAACATTCCCCATGGTATATGCGAAAGAAAATGCAAAGAGATGCAACATCTCTCCGCAGCGCCAGTGAATCGAGCCGATCGGAAAGCACTCGGTCGTCGACGATTCGAGCCGCTCTACGATGGATGCGGTCAAGTGAAAGGAGCTGGCACTGGGGGCCCCAGAACAGTATTACATGTGCGGCCGAACCTGCGCCTTGTAAAGTTGCAGGCGGTGTGCCGGCATCCAATACTGTCCCGCGTATATAGTATTATTGTGTTATTATAAAAAAATGTGTACTAATTATCTCTTTACATTTTTATTTTTTATCTTTTACAATCCGAAAACGTCCACTGCCAGATACGGGCCTTACCAACATTCACCGAACACGAGCAACCCTAGTCTGAATCCGCTGGCATCAATAAAATTGTCAATTGCAATTTTAAGTGGTGATTTCACACGTGCTCAGTAAAGGAAGACATTGTGAGGAAATCTGCATATTATGTCAAAGTTATATATATTTCGAAAACAAGTCTTCCAACACAGCAGACTAATTATTCTCTGTAACCCTCTTAGAAGTAAGAGTATGTATACCTGTGCACATCTGAAGGTCGGTTTTTTGTACAAGTGAGGGTCGCCCATGAACAGAAACACCAGAAAAATAGCACCTTTTAAGCTAAATAGACTGTAGCTTTATTTTAAAAGTACATTTTTATAAAATTTTGATTTTATTTGTTTGTTTACGATTAAAGCTAAATTTGGACAAATGGCACAATCAAAGCGGATTAAGAGCTCTTTACTTTTTACAAAATATGACTGCACAATAGACTGTCACTTGGCAACCAATTTCAATGCTGGCATATCTGCCTTATTGTTTTCCGTATAATAAACGCTTTAGTACTGCGTATCCATTATTTCACACAACACGAGTATGTCTATCCTTTTAAATTTTTAAAGTATTTAAACTTGCTAGCGTTGAATGTAAAACGTATGTTGACGTTTTGTTTTTAAAGAATAATAACTTAGTGAAAAAAAGGGCTAGTACGCGTGAGGGCTCCCCTATAGACTACTAAAGGTAAGACTTGCCACAGTTGCCACACGTGGCAGATTGATTGGCTAGCACCGTATTTTTACTTTGAGTTGTTATATAGATGTCGCCTCCTACGACACCCAAGGGACCTCGTACCCTGCTAAATTCTGAGTAGACAAGCCCGGAACGTACATGACGGGAATGAAGCGGAGATAATAACAGTTAATCTTCTGCGAACAGCTTTTAAATACACGCTCATACACATATTGAGGGCTCATTATTTCTAACCTATTATTGTTACAAATTCGGTTTATTTACCTCGCTGGATAGTTTGGTTGGTATTTGCGTGGCTGATAGATTCGCAATGCTTATGTTGTTCAAAAACAGTAATAGTATATTTTTTTTGTCCAATATAGATTATTTATTTTGTCCAATATATTAATAATACTTATTAAGTCACTGCTTTTTTAATTTACCACTGGTTCGGAAAAAACCTTTGTCCTGGGCAGAGCCAGCAAGAAACCCAGCGGGACTTTAAAAAAAAACAGCACAGTGTTACGATTAGCAACACATAACAAATTATAAATAGCTCGGTAACGAACACCCTTCTCATCATCCATAAATTCCTTAGCATAATAACCCTTTTTATACAAAACTTAGTTGAATAACGTTTTAAACTTTGCGCAGGTCCAATTTTGTATATTTTCCGGGATTTTGTTGTAAAAGCGTATACATCGCCCCCAGAATGAATACTGACTCGGTGGAGTCGATTAACTAGTACTACTCAATTTCCGATTCTCAGATTCGAATTAATATTAGATATTTACGCCATTACAATCATCATTGCAGCCCTTCACAAGTCCACTGCTGAACATAGGCCTCCCCAAGGAATGCCACAAAGCATGGTCCTGAGCAATCTGCATCCATTGACTTCCTGCATGCCTTAGCAGGTCGTCTCTCCATCTATGTAGTAAGGTTACACCCTACACTTCGTCTACCGGGGCTGCAACTCGAATACTTTTGTACCCCATCGGATGTTGGTGTTGTTGTTCGTTGTCATGAATGAATGAATGAATGAATGAATATACTTTATTGTACACCACAAACAAATTTATAAAGATCATAACAGGGTGCAGATTACATGTACAATTTGGCGGCCTTATCGCTACATCGCGATTTCTTCCAGGCAACCAAAGGTGTAAAGGAATAAAACAGTGAATACTAGGTAGGTGGTGCAATATAAATATACCTAATATAATATCAATACATGAAATAAAATAACATATAAATAACTAATACATTAAAAATATGATACACATATACATACGTATATACATAAACACATACACACACACACACACACACACAAAATTTTATATATATATATATATATATATATATATATGTGTGTGTGTGTGTGTGCGTCTGTTGTATATGTATCGTCATGTCATCAATCGGACGTTAAATCCTGGTTCATTACAACAAAGTGAAGTCTTTTATAATTTTGTTAGAATTGAGAAGAAAATATGATAATATAAGTGATCTAATGATGCAAAATAGTGACAGTGGAAACAAACTTTGACTTTCGTGGAACTATTCACAGCTTACAGAAACCGCACCACATTGTACAGTTGACTGGAAGTACAGTCGGTAAATTTACCAAGTTTGCTAAGTTGCCGTTACCGTGCTTAACTATGAAGAATGGATTTAAATATTTATAGATTTTCACCACAGATGTTTTTGTTGTTGTCGGGTTGGAATCATGAGTGCCCATAATATCTAGATGATATATGAGTATGAGTATAATCTTCAGCTTCACCTAAACCTACCGCCAACCGAATATACCTAGTTTTAGGCATGAATAAGTTGAATGCGTATAAGTAATTATAAGCAAGGAATGTGTACTTTTAGTCATATAGGCCTTATTAAAAAATCCCTATAATATGTCTATACACGGTTGATGATATGAATGCTTATTACTTACGGACTTTTGTATATAGCTGGCCTAAATTGCTCAAATAAACAAAACCGGAACGATTTGTGGCGTACAGATGGTACAGGAGTTGAAATCTTTCGGACTACAATATCACTGCAGAGGTTTTACTTCCTTCAAAATTATTTGAGATTCGATGATAAAAACACTCGGGACCAAAGAAAAAAGAGTGACAATCTAGCTGCAATAAGGGACATTTTTGAAAATTTTGTTGTAAATATTCAAAAACATTATGTGCCTTCCGAGAATCTTACTATTGATGAGATGTTGTTATCTTTCCGAGGGCGATGTCCTTTCCGCGTATACATTCCCAACAAACCAGCCAAATATGGGATAAAAATTCAAGCTCTTGTAGATGCGGAGAAGTTTTACATTCTCAAACTAGAAATATACGCAGGAAAACAACCACCGGGACCTTACCAACTGAGTAACAAAGCATTTGACATTGTGAGCCGTTTAGTGGAGCCAATAACAAAAACGAACCGGAACTTGACATTCGATAACTGGTGTACTAGTTATCCACTTATGATTCATCTCTTGAAAGACCATTCATTAACTTCTATCGGCACAGTCAGTAAAACAATACAAGTGTACCTGAGATCTTCAAAAAGGAAACAGAAGTCAATAGCTCTCTTCCAAAACTATATTACTTTGGTGTCCTATGTACCTAAAAAAATAAAGTTGTGCTGGTTATGTCTACTTTACACCATGACAAAAATATAGACGAATCGACGGGGATAAAAGAAAACCGGAAATGATATATATATATATATATATATATATATATATATATATATATATATATATATATATATATCGGCTTTAGTTTTATTATAATACTTATTATAATAAAACTAAAGCCGGAGTCGATGTCGCAGATGAACTGAGTACCACTTATGATGTTTCACGCAATAGCAAACGTTGGCCCATGACGATTTTTTATGGTATACTCAATATGGCTGCCATAAATGGTATCGTAATCTACAGAGAAAATAACACGACTGACAAAACAAGCATGAAGCGCCGAGACTACATTCGTAATTTAGGTTTGAATCTAATAAATGATAGTCTTTGGAACAGGCAACAGAACGTACATCTTCCAAGGGAAACACGAAAGAGGATTGCCGATCATTTAGGGGAACCCTCACCACCATTTTCAAAACAAATGGCTGGTAAATATGTAAGATGTCGTGAGTGTACTCAGAAAAAAGACAGAAAAACAAAACATTGCTGTACAAAATCTGAGAAGCCAATATGTATGGAACACGCGATTTTTATGTGTGGAAATTGTGCTGATTTGTAGGTGTAACTTTGGTGCTCTGTTACACAATCTCACAAGACTTTTCAGTGCCTTTTTATTTATAATAACTAGAAGACTCTACTGTTATGTTGATTGACCAAAGAAGTGGGATTTTTTTAGATTTTTATGCGAAAAGAAGTTAACTACCTTAACTTGTAATTTTTTAAAGAAAATTTAGATACTTTGTAATTTCAATAAAAAATAACGCTTTTTGTACTTAATGCTTGTATTTTATTTACTAATCTTGCAGAATGAGTACTATTATTAATATATCTTAAGCATAAATGCTAATTACATAATTATAGTATAAAAAATTGAACATCAAAATTTTAGGTATCTCCTACCCGCCTCATAGCTGGTGTAACAATTTCTCACCTCATTCACGCCGGGTTAAATTAGATTGTGTAGTGCGATTGCCAAGTCAATCTTTTTTATTTAAAATATAAAAGAATTTTAATATTGGTATGGTCACTATAAGATGTTGTTAGGTTAGCTAAGTACGTAATAACTTAAGGGATCCTTAAGTAGGGACATAGACATGGATCTCGCAACTTTTTACGATAGAAGAACTGAGTTGCGAGACTTGTTTTTTTTTACAAGTTATGTTTTTGATGGCATCTCATTTATTTTTGTAGCTAGTCCCACTTTTTTCCTTTCCGGTACCTTCTTCTTCTTGAATAGCAACAACGTACCTATCTACACCTATTTTTACATTATATTTACATATTATACAGATACACTGATTTATTTACTGTAAAATGTAACTTTATAATCGTATATATTTGTATGGCAAAGTTATTTATGCAGTTGGTGTATCTAGAAAACTGGACTGAAATTGCAAAATATTTTAGTTTTTCTTTGATTTATACACTAAGCACTACTTGTATTCTAAATTTAAAGCTTCTATGTCTGCTATAAGTGCTTTAGAGTTTTGATGATCGTTTAGTCAGTCAGTGAGTGACAAAATTAAGAAACTGAATAGTTATAATTCTTAAACTACTGGTTCAAATTGAATGAAATTTGAAATATGCCTTGTTTATACAATGCCGGCTTGGTTACTGAATTCAGACTTCCAGTTTTATCCACAACGAAGTTATAGGAGGTCGAAAGTGGCCTGAATTGCTTCGAGAAAAGGATGGTACGGCTGTGCCACTTTTTTTGTTGCTCGACTTGGCGGGACACTGCCGTGCCCCCAAATTAAATAATGTATATATTTTTACACAGAATCTCTAAGAACCCATACCGTCCCGCAAGTATAGTAAAAGAGGACATAAGGAAACTAAGCAGGAGATTGAACACTATCTTCCTGATAACAACTC